TGTTGTTGTTGTTGTTTTCTTTGTTCTGTGAGTTTTTGTGCGGTCCATTTCCCTACCTGTACGTGCACGGCATGAATGCGTGCATGAATGTGTGTGTGTGTGTGTGTGTGTGTTTCTGTTCGCATACCGTGTGTACCCCTAACATGCTCTGTGCCACGAATGGCTGCACTGGTTGGTTTGTTCCGCTGCATGTTGGAGCGTTTGCGTCTCATGCGTCTGTCATGCTGTTCTTGTTTGATCAAATACACGTTGAAAGCACAACTCGCACGCTTCAGCGCACGCACAATAAGCATGGCACGGGGGGGGGGATAGGCAGGAGCAAACACGAGCGATCAAGCAAGGTGCGAGGCGAAGCAAGTAAGACATGGTGGTGGTTGATGATGTGGGCTGTTTTTCTGTGCTCTGTGGCATACACGCGCATGGGTCGAGAGTGAAGTGGGATGACGTGTGGGGCCGATTACAAATGGAGGGTTGGAGGCGGTCATCAATGACATGACCCTATTTCTAAAAGAGGGAGGGGAGTGGTGTGTGGGAGAGGAGTGGGGATGAGACGACATCAGGACAGCATGCAGGGAAAACCAAACCAAAACCAATTGAGTCAGGCCAATCTACAAGAGCGTGACAAGAGAAAAGTTTAGTTCACGCAACACTACACTACACACACACACACACTACACACACACACACACACACACACACACACACACACACACACACACACAAGAGAAGCAGCCACGTACTCTATCGTTGCCGACGTCAATGTGGGGTCTGTAGGTGAGCATGAGCTGGCTTGGCTTCCGCCAGCGGGTGCGCAGTACATATTCAATGGTGTATTCTTTGCCAAGTGCCTCCCCACGGCACAGCACGTCAACCTGGGAGAAGTGGTTGGGGGTGAAGCCCGATGTTGTCGTCGCTCACACATGTGCACACTGTCTCCCCTTTGCCCACTTGTCCCGAGGAGGGGAAGGGCATGTAGGGAACCGAGCGGAAATACGAACCACATGTGTATGCGAAGAGGAAGAACAAGACACAGGCTCAGAGGCACTGACACTGACACAAAGGCGCTGACGAAGACCCGCACACACGCACGCACACACGCACGCACACACACACACACACACACACACACACACACACACACACACACACACACACACACACACAGACACACACACAGACAGACACACGCACGCGCGCACCTCTTCTGCGCCGGCGAGTTTGAGGCGGTGGGCAAGGAACTTCTTCAGGTGCATGATTGTCGCCTTGGCCGACGTGCGCACAAACGGCCGCTCAAGCTTTTATATGTGTATGTGTATGAGAGAGAGAGTGTGTGTGTGTGTGCGTAGCATTGTGTGCATTCATGTGTGTACATTGACAAGGCACGTGTTGTTGCAGCGGCTGGCACGTCTCACCTTCTCCTTGGCGCCGTGGTTGCGCGGCGTCATCTTCTCAATGTCTTCACTGCAAAACCGTGCACGACCACACAGACACACACACACACACATACACACGCAGGAACACGCATGTGTTTCAGTGTGCATGATCACAGATGCATGTGTGTCTGTGTGTTGTGTTCATGCCCATGTGTGCACGTGTGTGTTTTTATCCATGTGTGTGTGTGTTTATCCATGTGTGTGTGTGTTCTTATCCATATGTCCATGTGTGCGTACCTGAGTTCTTCGGGTTCGAGCATGAACGAGACCTGCAGTTCGGGGTTCTTCTTCAGCCGTGCCTCCGCCTGGTGTACCCACAACCCGTGTGGTACGCGGTGTGTCATATCAATGGCAATGATGACGGCGAAAATGGTGGTGGGAGGAGGTGTGTTGTGAAGGCGGCGGTGGCAGTCGCGGGTGTGGTCGTAGTAGTCATTGTGGTGGTGTGGCGACGTCGTGGTGGTGGTGGGGCGCACAGTGCATGAAGCGAGACGCAGAAGCAACTGGGAGCAAACACGTGTGCACACAACGCGTGTGCCAGGGTGAACAGGCACGCAATTAACTTCAACACATGCCAGTGAACCAGAAACAAATAAACGAACCTCCTTCCTTGCTTCCTCGTCGTCTGCATCATGGCAACACAAGAGCGAGAAATCACGTGGGTGGTGGTGCGTGGTGGTGCGTGGTTGAAAGAACAAGTATATGCTTCAAACGATTCCAGCCCAGCCGCGGACACAGCCGGACAGCCAAATACGCGCAGTAATGACGTCGAGACACGTGCACTGAAAGCCAAACACAAAGGCGCTCAGCTGTCATTTATCTCGACAGCATCAGCACCACCACCACAGTAGCGTGGTCTTACCTGTCTCGTGCGCGCTGTTGCTTTCGTCATCACCGGCAGCGGTATCGTGTGTCGGTGACGGGAGCTCTTCGCCATTGAGCTCGGCCTCAAACACACGCCGCCGATGCGTCTCATCTGCGCACACACACATGAACATGGATGAGCATGTGTGAGCGTGCGCGCATGAATGTATGTGTTGATATGGGCGAGCATGCACACATGAACAAGCACATGCATGCACACACTCAAAAACACATACACACGCACACACACACATACATATGCACACACGCACACATGTACATACCTTCAAGGAGGCCTGGCACAAGCTTGTACACAATCGTCTGCATGGTACGGTCTTGCCTGCAGGCAACAGTCAGTCGCACGCAAACCAGAACAGATGCAAATGCACGAGCGAGACAAAACAATGCGTTTTGTCCGTGTGTGAGGTGCATTCGCAAGGGGCATCTCACAAGCGCATCACAACAGCATCAACCTGAGAAAGGAAAACCAGAGAGAACAAGAAGCGAACAAGCGCAAAGTGTCGCACCTGAGCGTGTCGTGTGGGTTGATCTCGTGTGCGAGGGTGCCGCAGACGGGGCAGGAGTTGTTGCTCTCAAAAAAGTTGACAATGCACGACTTGCAGACTGCCATGTGTGTGTGTGTGTGTATGTGTGTGTGTGTGTGTGTGTGTATGTGTGTGTGTTTGGAGGGGGCGCAGCGTGAGGTGGACTGATTGATGACGCAAGTGACCAAGCGGGATCAAGAAGCGTATGGGAATGGAAGAAAAGCATGCAGACACAAAAACAGACAGACAGCCGGACAGAAAGACACAAACTTGCACAAACAGTCACAGACAAACGCACAGACACACTCAGACACAAACACAGACACACACACACAGACACACAGACAGACAGACACACACACACACACACACACACACACACAGACAGACAGACAGACAGACACACGCACACACACACACAGACAGACAGACAGACAGACAGACAGACACACGCACACACACATTCTCTCTCTCTCTCTCTCTCTTCCGAGCTGGGCGCATGCCGCCATGTGTGCTGCACGTACATGTGTGGAGGCATTCAGAGAGGGTGGTGGCGTCGATGAGGTAGCCGTCGCAGAGGCGGCACATGAGATACGGGTTGAGCCGCTCAAGGTTGTAGCGCATCTGGGGACGACGGGGGAGGTGGCCGTTGCACGTTGGCACCGTGAAAGGGGGTGGGAAGGTTTGGGAGATAGCGGTGTGGTGTCACGGATTGGCAGAGTCGACAAAAATGCACGTACGCACACACACACACACACACACACACACACACACACACACACACACACACACACACACACACACACACACACACACATGAGCACAGCCACACATGAACACCCAGCCCCCTTCCAAACACACAACCACACACACACACATTTACACACAACCACACACATGCACATTTACACATCCAGACATGCCCGTACCGTTTGGCCGCTGATGGGAGTTCACGGGTTTGGCCGTGTCGTGTAAGCAAGCAAAGTCACAACCCCGGGAAACAGCGTCAGCACACGTGCAACACAAAACGAAGGTAGTGGCAGCACCCGCAACTGCACCTCATTCGCTTCAACCCCCACGCAACCCCTGAACAAGCACACACAGGTACCATGCAACCACCATCAGCACCACCCCCACCACTACCATCACTATTCTCATCACCATCATCACCTACTGCTGTCGCACCTGATGACGGTGGCGGTGGGATCGTCTTCTTCGCTGCTTGAACCGCTGCCGCTCTCGTCATCACTGCTGCCGTCGCCACTGCCGTCGCCACTTCCTTCATCGCCATCATCGTCATCATCACCCTCATCGTCACCGTCAGCATTATCATCATCATCATCATCATCGCCACTGTTGTTTCCATCGCCCTCACGCTCGTTGCCACCATCCTCAACACCACCACGATCACCATTATCATCGTTACTGTCATCACCATCAGCGCCTGGGTCATTGTTGCTGTTGTTGGTGGTGATTGCGGCGCCAGGTGCCGTGGCGCCGGCGTCATGCGCGTGCTGTGATGCTGTGTCAACGTCTCCTCCCACATGTTCTTCTCCCTTTTCCTGGCTAATGGCATTTCCTTCGTCATCGCGGGTGGTATCCATGGCAGCCTTTGCGCGCTTGCTTGGCGATGATGCGGCACTGCCGCTGCTGCGCTTGCCCTCGCGGGCTGTGTCGGTCTTTGTGGCGCCGCTGGGGTCAATTGCCACCAGTGACACCTTGTCTTGATCCTCCTCTTCATCATCATCTTCTTCTTCCTCCTCCTCTTCCTCTTCCTCTTGATCGTCTTGATCGAGGTTGTGGTTGTCATTGTCTTCGTCATCGTCTCCATTGTTGTCGTCGTTTGCGCCGCCACCACCACCGCCACTTGGGCTGTTGTCGTTGTGGTCGTGCTCGTCGCCCTGTCCTCCACTTCTGTCGTTCGAATAGTGCTGATCATCACCGTCAGATCCGTCATCGTGCGAGGATGAGTTGTTGCCGGTGCTGTGGGCGCCATGGTTGCTGTCACCAGCAGCCGTTACTGTGTGCGTGGTGAACGTGGGTGACAGCATATCGAGTGTCGACACGGCGTTCCAGGTGTCCACCGGGGCACGCACCGCATCAGGGAAGGCGAAAGCCGCCTGCGGCATCACCACGGTTCCCATTTTGCTATCTTCTACACGCACGCAGCCACGCTGGTTGTGAGTGAATGAACAAGTGTGGTGGAAAAAATGGCGCGCATGGGTTGTGTTTGTCATTGGGGGTGGGGTTGATATGGGTCATGTCATTGTGCGCCACAAAGACAACAAGCCAAACAATCAACCAGATTGCACACGACAGCAGCACTCACAGAAAGTAACATGCACCTAACTCCACATCATATGTCAAGTACTCACCCCACTTTGTGCTTGCTTGGTGGGGGGTGGTGGTGTGTGTTGTGTGGTGTTGGTTGTCTCTTTTGGTGGCTTTGGCTGCACGCGTCGTTTTGTTCGCTCTTTTTGCTGCTTGCCTCGAATTTCAGATATTTGGCCATATTTCCATCCACTTTTCTACAAGTGGGGGTGTTTGCATCAGTGGAGCGAACCAGCAAGCAAGCGAAGCACACACACACCCACACACCCACCCACCCACACACACACACACACACACACACACGACACACACGACACACACACACACACACACACACACACACACACACACTCCACTTAAACCGACCGCAGTAGGTCTGCGCGTGACGGGTGCTACTCTCTACCAGAAAAGGGGGTCGGAATCTTGCCCTACTGATGTCCCTAGATAACGGAAGGCACCTTCCTTACACCAGGACTCCGAGTGGCATAGTGTCACGGTTGGTAGTTCATGGTCCGACAGGCCCGGCGTATCTAACGAGCTCAAATGGGGACGGTTGAGCATAGCAGCACACACCCACGCACACCCACGCACACACACACACACGCACGCACACACACACACACGCACACACACACCCACGCACACCCACGCACACACACACACACACGCACGCACACACAAGTAAAGGATGTCAAACCCAACGGAGATCATTCGAGGACCACAAGTACGCTGCGGTGGAAGGACGTTGTGCGTAGATGCGAAGCAGCTGGAACATGTATCTTTGTCTTGTTGCTAACTATGCTACTCTCACTGTGTGTGGGGGGATTAGGATGGCGATATGTCGCCACTGCGAGTGGTTGCTGCTGCGGCTGCGATTGGCGTGTCCGTGTACGCCATGTGTCGCATTGCCAAGTCCCTCTGCTGCTCCAAGTTGGACGGACCCAAGTGCGTCATCATCCTCTCAGGCAAGCGCAAATGCGGCAAGGACTACCTCTCCAGCTTCCTTCATGAGCGGTGAGCGTGCGTGTGTGTGAATGTGTGTGAATGTGTGTGTGTGATTGTGTGATTGTGTGATCGTGTGTGCATGTTTGTGTAAGCGCAAGTGTGCATGTTTGTGTAAGCGCAAGTGTGCATATTTGTGTAAGCGCAAGCGTGTACGTGCGTGCAGTGCGTGTTCATGTTGACGTGCGTGCATAAACCCTGCTGCTACCAGCGCCGGTTCTGTCCCTCATACAAGTGTTGTGTCTCGCCTGCTTCGCGACCCAGGCTCGGGACATTCTCGTCCGTAGTGCGCCTCTCCGGCCCTCTGAAGGAGCAGTTTGCCAAAGACCATGGTCTGGACTATGAAGAGCTGCTCTCAGATTCCGGATACAAGGAGAAGTGAGTGCACGCGCAAGAGTGCTCGTGCGTGCCCGCTAATCGTCCTTGCGTGTGCTCATTGCGTTGGATTGTCTGTTTAAGGACGCGTACCAGCGCTTTGTGTGTGTGTGTGTGTGTGTGTGTGTGTGTGCGTTTGTTTGTTTTGTGGGCCGTGTGTCCCACAACCACCCGTTTCGGCCTCCCCTCTTCGCTTTCCCGCCTCCCTCCCTCCTCCATTTCTCCGGGTCTGTTTACTCGCCAGTCACAACTGCACACGTGCGTGCGCCGCTGCGCCAGGTACCGCAAGGACATGATTGCATGGGGCGAGAAGATGCGCAACGCAGACCCAGGGTTCTTCTGCCGCCTGGCAACCGCCACAGCGACCGCCCCAATCTGGATTGTCACTGACGCCCGCAGGCCCTCCGATATCGAGTACTTCAAGGTCGCGGGGGTTTTTTGTGTATATGTGTGTTCATGTGTGTGTGTGCGTTTGTATGTGTGTGTGTGTGTGTGTGTGTGTGTGTGTGTGTGTGTGTGTGTGTGTGTGTGTGTGGTGTGTGTGTGTGTGTGTGTAGGGAAGATACCCGTGCCTTATTCACATTCACAATGGGCAGTGTTTGTCATCCATCAAGACAGCACATGGCTGCCAGCGCTGTCACTCACGGGTGATGCTGTTGCCCGTCCCTTCATTTTGACTGTGTGCAGGCACGCTACCCTGTTGTGACAGTGCGGATATCCTCGACAGATGCAACGCGGAAGCAACGAGGGTGGGTGGTGACATGGTGCTGCGAGTTTCATTGGGACTGTGATCCATGAACCTTTCGGACCTCACAGCTGCTACCGATGCTCGACATGGTTCCCATGCCATCACGTGAGCTCACACACATGTTCACCCTCATCACACCACATCACGCACACACACACACACACACACACACACACACACACACACACACACACACACACAC